TGTGAGCGTCCTCCACCTGCCAGAGTCAGAGCAGAGTTTCTGAGTAAAGGTGGTAAGACTGGATCAAGTAATTATAAGTACTCTAGAGAAGTCTGCCCTCAGGTATGCCTTTGCCAAAGGTATGTGTTTCTTCCCTCCGAGTCACCATTTCAGTGCAACAGCGATGAATGATATGCGGAAGGAGAAAGTTAAGAGGAAGAGATAGGAATGAGTAACCCAAATCGAGGCGGTCGCAGGGTCCAAGCTGAATGACTGTCGCCGAGGATTCTCGATAACAATCAATACTCGAAGTGATCCATCTATTAGATGGAGCATCGACAAGACTCTTGTCACAAGAGTGACTAATCAGGCGTTGATAATAGTAGCTTAAATCTCAATGTGATTTCTTAACTACCCCGCTTCGTTGTGTTATTTGAAAGCCCTGTGATTCACAGGCTGTGAAGGAAAGAGTGTGACTCATTGCAAGTCAAGACCAGGATCGAAGCCAGATTCTGGCTGCCAGAAGTGGGTCCTGAATGAGAAGTAATCATTGGTAGTCTTTTCTTGGTCTTGATTTCTCCTTTATGCGAAATTCCCAGAGCATCAAAGAGAGCCCGCTCGGAAGCTGGGAGAGACAGAAGCAAAGCCAGGTACAGAGAAAATAGAAGACGGCAATGGACCAATGTGAGCGATGAGCACCGGTAAGGAGTGCATTACTGGGCTTCGATCACGCCGGCATCGAGCTGGCAAGAGATAGCTGAGCGAACAGTGAATCATCCGCACGAGGAACTGCCGTTAGTAGATGGCTCAGGGCTCCCTACGCGAGAGCAATGGGACCATGAAGCATACAAATTCGAACTGGCAGCGGATACGGGAACGACGAGATTGCTGTCGGATTGCGTCCACGAGGCAGGCCTAGCCTGGTCAGAGACCCTCGAAGTAACAGAGTTCTTACACGAGTTTGAAGAAGCTGACGGGACGAGTAGAGAAGATCTAGAGAGGGACTAGGAGCGGGACTAGGAGACTCTAGGGGACTAGGGCCCGTAGACTCTTTTAAAAAGAGTCTACGGGCCAGTCATGGTGGTTCTCTATCAGCGAGCAGACGAACCCACGGCTTTGGGGCCCAAAGTTTGGGCCAGGATAATCTCGCGAAGACGGTAGGCTGGAACACAACACCAGCTGAGGGGGAAGCAGATTCCGGCTGAACTTACTACTTGGAGATGGTGGCTATAGCGCGCGCTATTCTGAGCATTGAGTTGGTTATGACACGAGAGGACAAACCGAAACCGGCTTTGGTGAGGTGTTTCTGCGATAATGCCGCGGCAGTTCAATTATGTTAACGATGGAGGTTGAGCAGCCCACTTATGCAGATCCCGCTTAGTTGGATGATCCACTATGAATCCAACTTGGATTCATAGTTGGGCTGGCAGAATAACCGGCACCCACATCCCGGGAGCAGCCAATATAGTGGCAGATAGGCTGAGCAGAAAGACACATGGAGTGGTCAAGGACGAGATACTGCCATCTTGGAAAGAAGTAGATGCGTCAGAAGCTTCGGCGGCCTGCCCACCAACGACCGGGAGGAGCGAGGTACGCTCACGGAAGGTCTACTGTGTAGTACCTTCGTTGCTCAGAACTTCTGACTTCTGACTCAGAAGTCGGACTCCTGGAGTCCGTCGCAGCAACTTAGGCCATTGAGCTTCGGGAGTTCATCAGAGCTAGCGAGGTTGTGTTCAGGAGAAAGAGGGCCATTCAGTGGATGTCAGCAGTTCTTTTCCGACGGCGGAATATATGGTGGGGAATGCAAAAAAATCACCGGAGGAGTCGGAGGCGGGGAAGGCCTTCCGGACGCTGACAGAATAGGACGGGAAAATGAAGAGAGCGGCATTGTTAGCCGATTCAGCTAGAGAGAACAGAAAGGAGCTACCGAGCAGCCGTAAAGCACTTCGAGCAACTTCACGGTAGGATCTCTAAATCCTTAACGTTTTCGCGTATTTTTTCACCTTAAGACGTCCTTGAAATAGTCTACGAGTGAAAAAATCCTAAATTTCGCGCACGATTTCATCGGGTTTCGATTGATTTAGAGAGGGTGAATTTACTATCGCATGAAGCAATTACTTACTAATTATTAGTATGTATGTCATCCACGCATCTCCAGCCCTGTAGATGACGAAACAATTCATGATCATACTATTGGAGTTACACAGATCTGCGACTTGACTTCACAAAGTGAAAGTTCGCTGTTTTATTGTTTTGCACGCAGTATCCACATTCCCGGGGGAAAATTCCGATAACATACACCCTGTATAATACAGGTGACCATACGTCGTCTAAGGAGTTTGAGGAGTTGCTTTGATGCCTCTCGGTGAGGCGTGGTGTCATCAGGGGGATTGTCGATGACCTCGAGTGACACTCCACTCCCCTCCTTTTGTTGTCGTGCTCTGTTGACCTTCTTACTGAGAG